GGACGTCCTAACCTTAGCACATCTCTTATGCCATATTTTCCTTGCTGAAACTCGCAATACCATCTGAATATGGTAGTACGATGTGGACAATCATTTCCCGGTACAGGGGTCATTTTTTGAAAGCATTCTTCAATGCCCAAACCGCATTCAAAGTTATATTACAAAATGGCTCGATATTCAATTTTGTACCAGGTAGACATTCGTTAATATTTTATCACTCCACAGTTCGAAGAATACTAACATCTAGCGAATGAAATTTTGACTGCAGTTTAAATATAAACAGGACTCAAAATGTACTGAATTCAAGTCCACATGGGCATACAGGTTGGAATGTATTTCAAAACTTTCCTAGTGTCCTTTGTATAATTAGGCAGTTTTTCAAATCTTAATCAGCCTATACTTTACTTTAAATGGCCAAAATACAACATACAACCAATTCAGCATCTCCTTAAGTTGTTAAAAGTCCATCTGCATACAGAGAATTACAATGAATGATAATCATTTTAACAGAATTCAACTGAAAATACTGTTCCCTTGGTATCATGAAGGAAATAAGGAAGTTGGAGGAGTATATGTGATTCAAAAATCTCTTATTAAACATCAGCTCCCATCGTGGGAAGTTTGTCAATCTATGGTTTCTCTGGAATTATTTCTTGAAAATAAAGATACTTCGGCCAGTAAATCTTTTTATTATCTCAACTAAAATCCTTTGTCCTCGTCAAGAGCAAACAAAAATAAAAACATTTGGCAAAATGTTTTTATTTGCTCTTGATGAGGACAAAGGATTTTAGTCGAAACATCAAGACAATAAAAAGATTTACTGGCCGAAGTATCTTTATTTTCAAGAAAAATGAATGCCGGCCAGGCAGCCTCTATCTTTATGATTCTCTGGAATTTTTATTTGTTGAGAGAACAGGGTGGTATTCCAAGATGGCCGACTTCCACATCGAAAAAAGGCTGTAATATATGATGTTATTGTGTCTAATGAAGAGCCTCAGATGTCTCCATGCATCTCTATTACAGCAGTCACAATGTCCTCTATCTTGGGTGTGTAAAGTTTTTAAACTGGATCCATGTCAATTTTCTACAAGGCTGTGACCATTGCTGGACATGAAAATATGTAGGTAGGTGTTAGTTCCACACCAGGACAATTGTTACATGTCCTGTAGGTTCTTGTGCCATCTGGATGTATTGTCGTAATATATGATGCGTGTGAATAAGGTAAAATTTAGATTATGAATAAAAACCACAAAGTAAACCAAATAAATCATACTTATAACCTAATGATAAACACAAGGTAATAAGACCAAATCCAAATAAAGTGTGTGACGTTTCTGCAACAGCTTTGTTACCGAAACGTTACACACCATTCATTTGGATTTGGTCTTATTACCTTGTGTTTATAATCTATAATCCAAATTGTGCAAGGCTCTTCCGCAAAATTGTGCATAATCATAACCTAATGATAATATATGTACACTGGCACGCTGAATCCTTAATTTTGGGTTTGGTATTTTACTACCCATTTACTCCTGTGAGATTCTCTGTATATAACAAAAAAATACTATTAAAAATTTGGTCAAAAACATTAAAAGCCGTTTTGTGAAGAGTTCATATTGAAAGAATGGTGCATGCTGAGTAAATAGATGATCTGTTAAAGCATTTATCAAGAAATGAACCATATGGTCACACTGCTTAATAGTGGAAAAAGTGATATCTTAATTGTATTTTTTTAAAGTTAGTGAACACACATATTTAAATAAAAAGTGGAAATGGCCAGATGTTATCCAAGATTTTCTTGCTTATATGTGATTTAGGTCACAACACCACACATTGTCATATCAAATATAAACAATGTTATCTTGATATTGTAGGAACAAAAAAAAAGAAGATATTTTTTTCATCTATTTTTATATTTTCGAATTTCCTTTTCATAAATTAAAATAATAACATTTATATAACTTTGTTCGTTTATCTAAACTTTGTATCAGAACTTATCATAAAATTTTATTTTCAATTGGTCACACAATTTTTGAAGTTAAATAACTGGAGTGGCATAAAATGAATTAAACTACTGATCGTATATTTAAACAAAAGAAATATGGTTTTCCAAAATGTAACGTGAAATCAAATTAAAAAAAGTTATATTTTAGATATATGTAACACGTATTTCCCCCAATGCAGAACGCCAAAAAACCCGCGAAATATATTTCCTTCCGGGGTTTATTTACATATGTATTTTTAAATTTATAAATTGAAAATACAGAGTAAGTTTTAAACTTTTGTACTCTTTTATAAATTTAACAAATTAAAAAGTTACTGAAATTTTAATAGAAATATTTTGTTGAGAAAAATATAGAATATCTTGATAATAATTTATCTACTTTTTTTAAATTTGTATATTCTAAAATAGCAATTTTTGAATTTATTGTAATAAAAATCAATATGCTAAATTGTGATCCATAAATTTTTCTAATTATATAAATATTTAAACCTTAATTTATTATATAGACCAAGGTAGACGTTAAGATACGCTTATGTTTTATAAACATATTTTTCATATTATAATAACAAAATATTCAAAATAAAATTATAACATATTTCAAATATTATTTTGTATTTTAAGCATACATATGGCTAGAACATTTATTTTGATCTCAATTTAACTTTTAAAACGCCAGTGTTCAATATTTTAAGGGTTCCTATTTTTCCATTTCATATTCTACTGATAAGGTTAATATATAACTTTTTTTTTGTAAAATCATCTTTAAAAAAATCGAAATTCAGATATTTTGATAAATTCATAAAAAATAATATAATTTTATTTGTTATTTATATATAAAAATAGAAAATACTATTTTTAAAATGCCTTTTTAACTCTATATCTTTAGGGGAAAATTTGTCCAGTAGTTTTCAAAATCGTGACGCCACCTATATTTAACCGCGTCACAGCACTTTTTATTTTTTTATTTGAAAATACGGTAAATAACATTTTTAAATTATAAATAATGACTTTTATCAGGTTAACAATGTTTATTAAATAAATAAATCATAAATTAATGTTAAAAAGTAATTTATAACCTAAACGTAGCTAAAATAAAATTGATTTCGTGCAAAGACGCCATAATTAGAATTTGTAGACATTTTGAAGAGCACATTTAAGCAAGTTTCAAAATATATCAATGTTAAGAAATTAATTTAACATAGGTATTTATTATTTTACTCTATCTATTACTTGTTAACCTAATTTTTTTCTCCATGATGATTTGGCATTTATTCTATGTTTATAACTCATTCAACCTGAATCATCAATTACCTTTTTGAAATAATGTGCTACATGCTATTTTCAAACATCTTCGAGGTAAGTATAAAAATATATAATTTCCGTTGTACAGTTTAAAGATCTATATTTATAATTACCCATTTTTTAATTATCCTAAAGATTAAGGGGTCATAAAAAAATATAGTATTTATTTAATTTTTAAAGTCCAAAAGAATGAACTGTATAAGAGAAACACACTAAATCAATTATATTGAATTTTTTAGCAAATATATATATAAAAAAAGAACTCTTACAAAAATGTTTCAATTTTGGAACCTATGGGCAAAAATCCTATAAAGTAATTTTTTAAAAGTATAATCTTTAAATGCTACATAATCTTAAGGTAATCAAATATTTAGCCTGAAGACACTCAAATTATCAAAAGAAAAATGCAACTTTTACAGGCATTGAGACATAACATTATTATGTATATAATAGTCTTTTGAGAAGACAAAATTCATTTCCAGTAGATACTTATTTCTGTAGATCACTGGTGACAATGTGTAGATGAGTATATTAATACTTTTGGTTTGGTTAAATTAGGTTAGTTTAGGATTTTGTTAGGTTGTTTTAATTTTGTTTATAGCGAATAGGTCTAGCATAGAATAATATAATAACATGTTTTCACAGTCCACAGAAATGATTATCACGCCTAATTTATTTTCTAAAATGTAAGTTTCTAACAGATTTTTAGCATAAAGATAGAGGCTGCCTGGTCTGTATTCATAGTTCAAATTAAAGATACTTCGGTCAGTATATCTTTTTTATTGTCTTGACCTTTCAACAAAAATCGTTCTCGTCAGGAATGAACAAAAATTAAAACATTAGTTTTTTTTAGATATTATTATTACAAAAAAAAGTTTTATTTACTATTTTACCAACTACATACAATGTATAGAGGAGACCTTTCTATTCAGATAGTATAGTAATAACCCAATTTCTTCTTATTTAAAAAAATAAACATTTGTAATATTGTCAATTTTTACTACTTGATATTCTTTTATACAGAAATTGATGAGGCACAATTTGGATTGTAGATTATAAACACAAGGTAATAAGACCAAATCCAAATAAATAAATAGTGTGTGACATTTCGGTAACAGCTTTGAAGATGGTAACAACGTTGTTACCGAAACGTCACACACTATTTATTTATTTGGATTTGGTCTTATTACCTTGTGTTTTATACAGAAAGTTTACCACAGAAAACACAAGGTAATAAGACCAAATCTAAATAAATAAATAGTGTGTGATGTTTTGGTAACAGCATTGTTACTGAAATGTCACACACTATTTATTTATTTGGTCATATTACCTTGTGTCTATAATCTATAATCCAAATTGTGCCTTATCATTTACACAGAAAAATAAGGTCATTCTGTATTAAACACAAGGTAATAAGACCAAATCCAAATAAAATAAAATATATTTTTTTAAATTTGTATTTGGTCTTATTACCTTGTGTTTATAATCTATAATCCAAATTGTGCCTTATCAAAGTCATTCTGTATTCTTGACCAAAATGTACAACAAGGTGGGAAAGTGATAGGTACAATATGGATTATAGATTATAATCACAAGACTAAATAAATAAATAGTGTGTTAAACACAAGGTAATAAGAACAAATCCAAAGTGTATCTTATTACCTTGTGTTTAACATACTATTTATTTAGATTTGGTTTTATTACCTTGTGCCAAGTGGTAAGGTGTTGTTCTCGTAAACCGAAGATCCAGGGTTCAATCCCCTGCTGGGCCTCTTTTTTTAGGGGGGGAAGGGGACTCGAAAATCATGCATTTTCGTTAGTAGCTTGTGAAACCATATTTTCTTTCTTATTACATTGTGTTTAATAGGTGGGAAACATACAGTTAAATCTCTTTAATCCAAGAATTTCTGTTGGATTCTTGCTGTCCATCAAGAAGACTAGGTGACTACATAGACACCAATTTGATCTGTTGAGCTTCCTTGATTCCCTCCTCTATATATGAGATATTTAGTTCAGGGAAACATTAAATACAGTTAAATCTCATTAACCCAAGAATTTCTGTTGGATTCTTGCTATCCATCAAGAAGACTTTAGGTGACTACATAGACACCAATTTGATCTGTTGAGAGCTTTCTTGATCCCCTCCTCTATACATGAGATATTTTAGTCCATATAGTTTTCCTCTGCAGTGCCTTCCTTTTATAGAGATGGTTTATCATTAGCAATATAACACTATATGTTGACACGTTAATGTTTTTTTTTTTACTGTATAATTAGGAAACAATGCTTATAGTAGAACTACCTCTCTGTATAGGACAATACCTACTTACAGAGCCAAAGTGTCCTTTAGAGAGAGGTGTCTTCTTACTGCAGAACTGTTAAATAGTAAAAATAGTAATTGTATAGCGATGAAAACTGTCCGTTGTAGAGAGGAATCCTCTCATGGAGCTGTGCTCTACTGTATACAGAAAGTATGCAAGTGGGTTGAGAAACAAAATTGGTCATATTTAAATGAACTCCTTTGAGCTTTCCTCTACAGACAGTCCTGAATGGCAGGACAGTCCTGTGAATGGACTGGAAAAAGTTAAGATAATAAGATTAAATTAACTGACATTTTGATGGTTGTTGCCAAAACATTACATACAGTTTATTGATTTGTTCTTATTACCTTAGGTTTCAAATCTATAATCAAAAGTTTACCATATCATAAGTAACTTATACACTAGAACTTCCACAAGAGGACACTCCTGCTAGAGGGGACACCTCTCTTCAATTTTCTTTCTTTTAATTACCAAAGTTACCATTTTTGCTAATTAGTAACTCTCCAATAAGAAGACACCCTCTCCCTAAAGGACACTTTGGCTATGTAACAATGTGTTGTCCTTTACAGAGAGGTAGTTCTACCGTATAAGTGATGTTCTCTTAGTGATAATGTTTTTTTAGCTCTAATTCCTCCAGGTTCTGAAGCTGTAACTGTTCAGGTCTCTCAGCTCTGTTAGAGATTCTATCATGTCTCCCATGTGTACTGTAAGGCGTAAAACTGCTTGGCGACATTTAGTGGACAATAAATTTTCTCTTAGAACATGATTGGTCTGGTTATAAAAGGCTACTAAGCTCAGCTTTGAAACCATCCTACCAAATTCTAGAATGTGGAAGGGAGGTATACCAAATCCCCTAGTAATAAGCAAACCTGAATATTTTTGTGAGAAGTTGATTCTAAACTAACAAAACCACTAAGAGAGGTTCACCACCGATGCCCATCCAAATATTTCTCCATGACAGTAAGAAAGTTAGAGAAAACTATTTTTTGCTCCAGGTTTTTTGGTTATTTTATTAATTAAATGTTAAAACACACATCTCAGCCTTTTTTTTTACTTGTATCTACGGACATTTTGGCGACCCTCTATTATCTTTTTTCAAAGTAAAGCTTTTAATAGAATTTTGCGTGATCTCTTGTGGGTTTATTATACATAGTGTGTGAATACCAACACATTGCACACATACAATGTGTTGGCGTATTCTCATTAAACTAAATCCATAAAAGATAATCTAAAGTTTTTACCTTGATGGGGACAGGTAGATAATGTTGATGGGGTTTAAGTAAGAAAGAGTAGTAGTTACAGGATGCCTTATGACATATATATTGATGGATATTCTATTTCTACCCTGTGTGGGCACTGTGGCAACCTTACCACCCAAGGTTGATGATCTTATCATCACCATTAAATTAGAAAGTTAGTGGTTTATTTGGAAAATATAGGTTGTTTCTTTAGATGCAGATAGTCTGCAAATGCTTCAAATGAATAAATAAATAAAAAAATGCTATTAGGACCTTGAGCCTACAGTATCAGCTACTTTGACCCAATATGGGATGTTGTCTTACTTGAGTGTGGAATGATGGCTCACATGGAGCATATCCATAGATATAGCTGTCCTGTAGTTTAAGATTCTGTATTGCATACCTTAGAGAACAGTTCACAAAGTGTTTACAGGCTGTTTTGTTTCTTGGTAGGTCTAACAGAGCAGTGCTGTTGAAAGAATACAGTCCAAGAAGTGTAGTTGTCTGGAATTGCTATAGTTGGAATGCTGGGCAGTTGTAGAATACACTGTTTGCTCTTCCTCTTGGCAGTGTGGACTGGTTGGACCAGGGACTTGCTTAATTCTGGCCATGCCTGACTTGAACATGTCCTGATAATAGAGTTGTGAATGATGATCTTTGATGTATTTTCCTGAGGTTCTTCTTAAGGTGACCAGGGGCCGACTTCCATATTGAAGATGACATTACTACATGATGATTAACAAAATCAGCAATCTATCCATGTTTTTTTGGTAGGTTTTGGTTCCATTGGTCAGTGTTATCATCAAGTTATCTTAGGATAGATAGAGTGTAGATATGGGGTAGCATTGTTAGTATCACCAGATGTCACATCTTTACTCATTTCACCTAGCTAAACTGCCATGTGTTAGTGCCATAAACAATATACCATTATATATATATGTGTTAAAATGAAGTTTTTACACTTTTGCATTATCTAAAAATATATATATACAAGTTTTAACATTGAATCTACAAAGTATTTCAGCATTATATGTAGTGACCTAATTTCTTGATAGTAACTATCCAGGTAGGGTAAATACCCGGCTACAAAACCTAGGTACAATATCCAAATCCAAATTTAAAGAGGTAGAGGAAGTTATGTGTCAACCATGGTATATCAAATTTCATGGTAAATCTGAAGTTACTCTAAAAAATAAATGCGGTGATAAATCCTATGACTCTTTTTAGAGGCCTCTACTCTTCTTTTTTTTTTTTTTACATTAATGTTTTTTTACATTTTGCCCTGTCAGGCCATGTTCTTGAGAGATCATGCTTGTTAAGGCTGTTAAATACTTCATTTCCCCATAAAGAGGAGGAGTTTGGTGGAGGAATGGTATAAACCAGGGTTCAGCAGGCAACCTTTTCAGTCAGTATAGAGTCAAAAATTGCACTTTACAAAATTTCAAAGTTTTTAAAGAGCCACAAAATGTTTTCTTGCCAACAATAACTAGTACTCGCATAGTTTTTATTTATGCCAGTACTACATACAACTTCACATCCAAAGAGGGGAATGTGGCTCACGAGCCACAGGTTGATGACTCCTCTTTTATAAACCAAAGATTTTTCAACAGTTGCAAACTGGGTTCTAATCCTGTATTATGCTTTTTATTTTTCTGAAGAAAAAAAAAGAATTGCCTCAATGACCCTGATTCTTCCAGAATTCCAACCCTACCAGCAAGTATAACTAACCAAACAGGGTTCTTGACACACTCATGGACAAACTTAAGGAAATAGAAAATCTTTTTGATATCCGCCGATCATCTTGTTTTTTTTTTTGAAAGAGACAGAGGAAATTTTGTTCACATTTGGTTATCTTGTGTGTCTACAATGAAGATGACTTGTATAAAATATCTTTCAGTCATTGTCTGAATTCTGATATCATGCTAAAAAATGTACAAGTAAGGTACAAGTTTTGTCCATGAATGTAAAGGCAAATGTGTAGACATGTGGTGCTCATACAGTAAAAGCAGTCACTTGTTAGATAAGAAAGAAGAGTGTTGAGATGATCCTGTGGTAAAGCAGGAATTGAGACTGTAAAATCTGATGTTTATAAATTTAATTGTCATATATCGATGTAGAGATATTTGATGCCCCCAGTAGAACCTCCCTGTAAAGGACAGCAAGTTTCAGAGCCAAATAATGTCCTTTATGGAGATGTTTCTTCTTACCAGAGAGTTGCTAAATAGTAAACATGGTAATTTTGCAGATAAAAAGTGTCCTTTGTATAGAGAGGTGTCCTCTAGTGAGAGTGTCATCTCATGGAGGTTCTACTGTATATGTGAAACGAAACACATTGCCAAAAAATATTGTCACAAAATATGTTGTTTGCAGCCTGTTCTCTTGAATGTGTAACTGATGCTTGCTTTTATAATTGAAATCCTCTGTGTGTTCGCAGCAATCTTAACACCATATCAATGACTGGAGATACTATGGAAAACTCGACAGAAGGTAAAAATCCCCTTTTTTTTTAATTTTCCATATTTTATATAGGTTTTGTACTGTACACCTCTTCAACATTTTCTTCTTAAAAACATTTTTAAAAAGGTTCAATAAATTCAGTGTGGAGTTTCATTAGCAACATCTCTCTCTTGTACTATCATTTATTGATAGAAATGTAAATTTTTACACCGAATGATTCACTGAGCACTTGAAACAAGTTGAATGAAATTTTGTGAGATTGGTACGCTATGTTGCTAGCCAACTGTTTTAAGATTTTTGGTCAATTTTTTGTTATAGTCAAACCCCTAGTCGCAGAGTCAAAGTGTCGTGTCTTCTTACCTGAGAGCAACTAAATTGAAAATAAAAGATAATATTGTCCTTTGTATAGAGAGGTGTCATCTAGCGGAAGTGACCTCTCATGGAAATTCTATTGTAAAATCAAGCAAACATTTTTTTTCTAGTTCCTTAATTCACTATTTTATTTCAACACCATATGGTTTTTTTTACAAGATACACACATTTGCTAAGGGAGGATTGCTCAATCAAATTTTTTTAGACATCCAATTTTGCAAACTATTTGATTCTTTTAGCCATGAATATTCACTTCTCCGCTGCCAATTAAACCTTACAGTAGAACCTCCCTTTATCGGACACCTCTCTATAAAGGATAGTTTTCATTTGCAAAATTGCCATTTTTACAATTTAGCAACTCTCCATTAAGAGGACACCTCTCTC